TTTTGATATGAAATGATTCATTTGCCCAAAATTAGTGATAAATAAAGCTATTTAATTATAATTATCTTTCAATTATAAGTTTAATTATAATCTTAATGCAATATAGAGTAATTACATGATCAGCTGACTGTATTCATCTTAAATAAAGTGATCAATTGATTATTTTGATATGAAAATGCTTCATTAACCCATAATTAGTGATAAATAAACTTATTTAATTATAATTACCTTTTAATTAATAAAGTTCAATGACATTTTTCGATGCATTATAGAGTAATTACATGATCAACTAACTGTATTCGTCTTAAATAAAATGATCAATTGATTATTTTGATATGAATTACTTCATTTACCCATAATTAGTGATAAATAAACTTATTTAATTATAATTATCTTTCAATTAATAAGTTCAATTACATTTTTGATGCATTATAAAGTAATTACATGATTAGCTAACTGTATTCGTCTTAAATAAAGTGATCAATTGATTATTTTGATATGAAATGCTTATTTAACCCATAATTAGTGATAAATGAAGTTCAATTATAAGTTCAAATACAAATAGATAACCCATCTGTTGCAATAGATAACTCATCTGCTGAAAATAATCAACTAAGTATGATCATTTGTTGCAACAAATATAGAAATATGTTGCAACAAATGTCTAATATGTATTATCTGTTTCAATAGATGACCTATCCGTTGAAAATAATTAAGTGTATATGCTCATCTGTTGCAATGGATAATTCATTTGTTGCAATAGATGAGTTGCAACAGATTATAACCTGCTGCAACATCTGTTTCAATAGTATAATTTAACATTTTACAAATTTAAGAATAAAATAGAATTCATGATAAAATAACTGAACATCTATATAATATAAAATATTGTCATCGGCAATTACAAAATATGATTAACTAAATATGATAAGTGTTCATGAATTACAATTCGTATAAAATTCTTCAGCTTACAAAATAGAATTCATAATAAAATAACTGGACATCTATTAAATATAAAATATTGTCATCAACCATTACAAAATATCAGGTTCTTCACCTTACAAAATATGACTTTAGCAACCCATACCCTCTACAACTTCTGCTGCTCTTCTATGGCTCCTGAAGATGACTCAACATTGCAAAGAAGAGGAGTAGTTGCAATTTGTTGTCTCTTTTTCATATTTGATAATATCTTGGAAATTGATTTTCTCCTCTTCTTAATCTTCAATGGTGTGAATGGCTCAGAAATTTTTCTTGATGGAATAACACCTCTCTTTTATATCAAATCCTTAACAACACTAGTAAGAGCATCAAAAGACTTCTTCACATCTTCACCAGTAGATATTAACTGAGCCTCTTTGTTCTTGCATTCTTCACATTTACATGCAGAACATGAGATAAAAGAAGGAGCAAAATATGTGTTATGTCCACTGAAAGGGGTGAATCCACCATATATACCACCAACATCATCAACATGCTCACCACCACTTTTAGCACCAGCATCACCAATATCAACACCAACATCTATTGCAACATCATCAGCATCACTAGAAGCAATATGTGCTTCACTTTTGATCGTTGTTGATCCAGCCAATTCTTTTTTTATCAGACTCACTGTTGGGTCTGATTTTGTGTTAATAATTCCTAGAGTTAAAAAGAATGACATTTGCAACTCTTGCTCTGTGGGGACAAGCCATGAATGTACAATCTATAAACAAAAGTAGTTTATATTAAAACTAATCTATAAATTATAATAGATAAAATATTTATTGTAATATTTACAGATATATTTTATTTTTAACAGATGAGCAACAGATAGAGCATCTATTGGAAGAAAGCAAAACAGTAGCAAATGATCAAGTTTTCTTACAACAGATAACTCATTTGTTGCAGCAAATAGGTCATCTGTGGAAAGTAGGTAAAACAGTAACAAGCTATTGAGATAATCCACTTGTTGCAACAAATAACCCATCTGTTGTAACAAATAGGCCATCTAGTGCAACAGAGGAGGCCCCAATGTAGCTAATTTCAAAAGATAAATATAAGATCAACTTTTATCAGAACTAGGACATTTCATATACTTATATTGTCTAGGCATTACAAGGTTCAACAAAAAAGTGCATGTTGAATTCTTTACTTACTTCAGCCATAAAATCAAACTAGCACCTTTTCAGTTAAAACCTTATTTAGAGCAAGAAGTCTAACTCCCAAAACTTACCCTTTTTTTCTTTTTTTCTCATAGTGATGTTTGGATCAGCTTGCATCTCAACAAAGTATCCATTACTAAGTTCAATCACTTTGCCTAGTTTGTCTATACAGATGAAGCATGACATCAAGCTTGCTAATTTATCCAACAAGGAGAAGACACAAAGTAATAGCCCTTAGTTACACAACCATGTAAATAGTTATGGGAAGCAAAGTTATGATTTTGTATCATATTAGTACATATTAAGCCAAGAATAACAGTTGCAATGGAAGATCAGAAATGAATAGAACAAAAAAAATCAATCTTTATCATCCCAAAAGCAAAATACAACAAAAACAAAAACAAATGTAAGATTAAGAAAAGAGGAATGAACAAGAAAGCAGGGACACCTTTTCTTTCTTTCCTTTCTTGAGTGTTCTAACCTCCACCTTCCACTCATCAGGAACCCAATTGGGCAAACCCCTTTTCTTCCCTATCCCACCTAAATTATCAACTAACCCCACTAATCCAAATCAATCTCCAAGTACCCTAAAAAACAAAAAAAAAACAAAAAAAAATCAAATCTTGCCAAAAACTGTCGTAAAGCATAGGGTGGGGTTAGTCGATTTGCTCTTCCTAGAACAATCAGTTGGTCCATTCCTAAAGCATAAACAAACAAAAGCTTCATTGTCTCAACATGAATCGCACAAAACCTGGGCAGTTCTTGAGGGAAGAGTATATGCAAATTGTAAAGACTAATAAAAAAAAAAACTAAAAAGCCCTAATTTTTTTCAAAAATATAAAGCTTTACCTGCAAATTGTTGTTCCTTTGGATGGTTAGAATAGAAGAATCGAAAGTTCAAAGTACGGCCGTTGGAAGTTGAAAGTTGCCAGAGAAATTGATTGTCCCGATCGAAGCAATTTTTATTTTTTGGGAAGTATGAAAAGTTTTTACAGCGAGAGAGAGGAAAACGTTTGAGAGAGGGAGTGGAAAGTTTGTTTATTTAGTGGGGGATTGTTTTGTATTTTTAAAAAGATTATAAGTTTTGAAAATGTTAATTGCGCCCACAATTAACTTAATTTAGTATTTAAGTATGTTTGACCTTTTGTTGGTCAATATAGTCACCAATAGTTAATTCAAAACTTAAAGGATACCTTTCCTTCAATTTTCTCATCTTTGACGCCATGGAGCCAACTGTCGCCAACCCTTCTATATCCATCCCTAATTAAATAAAGTCGAGGTATTTTTTCCTCCAAAAGTTTTATTATTGTATATATTAGATTTCTTTTATTCAATGTACAACACTTGCATTTTGCTTATGTTTGTTTGTTTGAATTTTTATATTAGGTTTGTTTGAATTTTTATAGTGTTCTTTAGTGATAATGTGTTTGCTTTAGCATAAGTGACAACATTAGTTGATCTTATTGATGACAAAATTGATTTTCTTGCAAGATCGATTTGTGTCTATCTAGTGTTGACACTTAACTTTAATTTGGTGATAATGTGTTTGTTTAGCATAAGTACCAACACTAGTTGATCCTATTGATGACAAAATTGATTTTGTTGCAAGATCGATTTGTCCATCTAGTGTTGACACTTAGCTTTAATTTGGTGCTAATGTGTTTGTTTAGCATAAGTACCAACACTAGTTGATCCTATTGATGAAAAAATTAATTTTCTTGCAAGATTGATTTGTGTCCATATGGTTTTGACACTTAGCTTTAAATTTAGAAATAATATATTTGTTGAGCATAAGTACCAACACTAGTTGATCCTATTGATGAAAAAATTAATTTTCTTGCAAGATCGATTTGTGTCCATCTAGTGTTGACACTTAGCTTTAATTTAGGAATAATGTGTTTATTAATCATAACCAACACTAGTTGATCCTATTGATGACAAAATTAATTTTCTTGCAAGATCGATTTGTGTCTAACTAGTGTTGACACTTAGCTTTAATTTAGGAAGAAAATGTTTTTTGAGCATAAGTACCAACACTAATTGATCCTATAGATGACAAAATTGATTTTCTTACAAGATCGATTTGTGTCCATCTAGTGTTGATACTAAGATTTAATTTAGGAATAATGTGTTTGTTAAGAATAAGTATCAACACTAGCTGATCCTATTGATGATGTTCATCTAGTGTTGAACAAAGTGTAGTTGTTTGTCTTGTCCTAGACTTTGATTTAGTTGTTTGAATTAATTTAAAACTAGTTAAAGTTAATGTAGTTTAGTTGTTGAAATAAGTTCAAATAAATAAAGTGGTTTAGTTGGTGGATTTAGTTATTGTAATTAATTCCAAACTAGTTAGAATTAAAGCAGGGGAATAAGAAGTTACTGACATGGCCGTACATAATAATCTGCCCCCAAACCAATAAACCGTTAATTTAAAAATTTTAATCCGTTCCCCAACTATTTATTCTATAAGCCAATACCAATAAGCCAATATTGCGATTGACTTATCGGTTACGGTTCAGTTTTGAACACCCCAACCCTTTCAGACCGATTAAGAAAATTTTAAGGAAAACAAACAAACAAACACACTTAATGACCTACTGTCTGAACCATTCAGATTCAGACTTTCATTAAATGCAAACAAATGAGGCCGTAGTGTGTCGGGTAATTTCTATCTTTTTAATCTATTTCTGATATTTGGGTTACTTTTGAAAAATTTGAAGGATCAAAGCTGCTCAAAATAAATTTAAAATACTATTTTAGACTTACTCCGAAACATAAGGACCATGTTGCCATTTTCTCTAATTCACATTGTACGGTTCCAAACATATAAAAAAAAAATCAAATACAAATGAAATGAAAATCTGTTTAATTACCGTTGTACAGTTTCGGCAATCGAAAACCCTAAGCCCTCATTTCAAATTCTCTCTTCTTCTCAATTATCAGATGCACTATCTACGATACCAGTTGATAATTGATTCAATTTCTCAGTGAATCATGATGGGTATTCGCAAATTTTGTAGACAACTTCACACATTATCTCGTGAATTTGGCCCCAGCGAGACGTTGAAGAGGAAGGTTGCTGAATTGAAGGTGAAGAAGAAATGGAAAGATCCTCGGAAGAATCAGTTATTTGTTCAGGTTCCTGATTCAAGATCATTCCTTGATACTGCTACTATGCCCATGATACTCACTGTTGTTGGGACCGCACTTTTCGCAAAGCTCCTCATGATGGTATGATACTCAATTGCAGTTTGTGTAAAGTTCTGTTTTAGTAATTGGATGAAATTGGAATGATCTTAGAAATGGACAAACCCCTAATATATATATTCATTTGTTCGTTGTGATTCTGGTGGATTGTAATAGTGAGTAGAAGAGAAACTTGGGGACATTGATACTTGACAAGGTTTAAATGTTGCTTCATAGGTGGAGTGACCTGATGGTTTCATTGATATTCATAATCTTAATAGGAGAATTACTTTAGTGCTGTAATGTACCAAAGAAATGGTATCTCGATATAGAACTGCTTATAGACTGTAGAATATCTTTGTTTTTCTTGGTTTGAATTAATGGGACTTATTTCTATTTACATTCATTATAAAATTTTAT